ATGCATTATTTATGCGATTAAATTTGAATTCCCACCGCGTGATTTTTACCTTTACGAGGGAAAAAAGCTGTTAAGTTGAGTAGAAAAAGATAAAACAGCAGATTGTAACGAAGAGAAGTCAACGATACAGATCAAATGCGTATTCCGAACATTCGAGTTAATATTTTTTTTTTTTTTTTTTTGTCAAAATCGTGTCTTGAAAAGGTCCGCTATTCTCATCATCCAGCTTTGCTCATCTTCATGAATACCGGCTTCATTAATATTCTACCGTTTAATTGCCATGGTAATAATAATTTCAATTGCATAAATTTTATCCGAATCACCGGTGTATTATATAAATTATTCCTTGTATTATGCAGACCCCTCCTCACCTCGTTTGTGTTGAACGTGAAAATTAAAAAGGTCCGCTATTATTCAAACAAGCTTCTTCCCTGAAAGGGACAGAGGCACAGAGGGTAATGTATAAATAACCGAACGAATAAACGAACAGACACGAATTACTAAAACAACATTCAACGAGGTACAATATTAAAAAGTTTGCATAAAAGCGCGATACTAAAAATCAATCCTTTCACCCTCGTCGACAAAAGCTCGAACATCTTCGACGAACAAAACGAACAAGTATATAACCCCGTATAAACGAGCAATAACCAAACCGAACCAAATAACAAACTAACAACAACACACCGAAAAGAAGTAATCAGACTAACAAAGTGTAACAAACAAAGCCGTACACGCTTAAATCAACGAACAAATGAACCGATACCAAATAGAGAAACAGCCCCTGTCGTACATACACCATGCATACACGTAAGTACACGCAGTTTCTGAAGCCCGGAGAATAGTAGATCAAAGATGCGGTCTCCCAGGCACACCCTGTACAGAACAGACATGATCGAGGGTGGCTACAAGAGAAAACGAGCAGAGGAAGAAGGGGTTGGGATCGGTAGTGAACGGTGGTGATGGTGTGTGTGTGTGTATATACATATAGATGGTAGCAGCAGTAGTAGCAGTAGTAGCAGCAGGCAGCAACGCGTAGGAGAGGGTTCGGTAGATAGAGGTAGGTAGGACGACAGTGGCGAGATGTTGGCACGTCACGTCAAGGGCTAAAAGTCCGCGAAACAATATCCAACCAACGGCCCATCCTACCCCCCCTAACTCGCTACATCTCTCTTCCCTTTTCTCTTGCTACTGCTGCCTGCCTGCTGCTTCTTCTGTTCCGTATTAGTTATCGTTTATCAGGCCGGCCAGACAAAACGCGCCGTCGGGAATTGGGTGAGCCATCTGTTGCCAGACATGATCGATAAAAGTCCGCCAAGTGCTATCAGTGCTAAACTGCTATTTCGACGAGCTGCCGCACGTTTCACCCTCCCACTCCCCCCCCCCCTCCTCCTCCTCCTT